GTCAGTAATAGTGCCAGTGTTTTATCCCATTGGCAGGACGAACCGATTCTACAGAATACATGTCGACATGTGCTAGCGTTTACAGCTCCCACTAGCGGGCGTCAGTAATCATGACTATATCCGAGACAAAACCATGTAGGATTTACAGAAAACCCGAATTTCACAATCAATCTCCAATTTCAAAAATAATCGGAAAATTTCCATGTGAGCATGGATTTAACAGAAAGGTCAGAATTTGCAAACTCTCAATTCATCAAAACAGTTCAGTCAATTCCAAATAGGCATGCTTTACTCAATGCAAAGAAAACAATTTCATTCCAATCATGCTCAATTCTAGGAAAACAGTGAAATTCTCATAAAAACCATCACAACTTCCATTTCAGTTTCATCACATTCAGATGCTGATAAAATCAATTTAAAATCAATTTAAACCTTGCCACCATCTCAAAAACAATTTAAAACATGCTTTAAAATCAGAGGGCTTTACCATAATTTACTTACCTCACTCATATAAAACCGAGCACTCAATCTCAGTGCTAACTGACAGAACGATCGGGAACCTAATCAAAACACCTCAGAATTAATACCGGGCTATCACAAATTCACAGTGAAATCATCATTAGCGCTACCCCTAATCACGGTACTATTTCTATCAATCTCCACATGATCAAATATCTCCAAATTTGTTCTTATATCACAAACTAAACCTTTAAATCCCTGTTAATCATTAACCCTCGGTGTGTGAACAGTACCCGTGAACAGTACACGTGAACAGTGACTGCACTTCCAAAATTGGCCAAACACTAGCTAATTCACGGGATTTTCTCCCTATAAACAACGCAGCAACTAAATCAAGAAATTTCTACCTCAACCAAGCTTAAAACGTGTTTAATGCTACCCAAAATCATCCCATAATTCTAGCACAATCTCGAACAACACAAGCAACTAAATGGACAATACTTAATTGATAATTAGACATAAAAAAGGCTGTCCATCATACCAGGAAACTCCGGCGAGCAGCACCGGGTCCGGCTGGGAAGGAAGCCGACCGGGAGAGGAATGGAGGAATTCACGGCAAACCTCAAAATTCAAGAACCCACAACACAATTAGAGTAACCCAACTTGAATTAAG